CCAAAAAAAAAAAAAAAAAAAAAAAGACATGAGCACAGTTGTATTATAAGCAGACCTACATTCCTATAAACTTGAGACCACAGGAACACTTCCTTTCCTTCCTTCTCTCTAGAAGGATTTTGCAGAAATAAGTCCAAGCAGTTCTAGAAGGCAAGGAGTTGGGATCAATTGCTTATATCCCTTTACCAGTTTGAAGGAACTCTTCTCATTTGATTAAAAACTTTAGGATTTATATTCAAGGCTTGGCCTCATTCTTAAACTTGAGGTCTCAATTATCCTTGCCTCATTCCCAGGAAAAAAATGATTATTTTCAGTCCTTCACTGAAACGGAATCCTAGTTTAGAAACTAATCACACATGCTGTCTCACCAATGCCAGCCTTTATTTCTTCTAGGATTCCCCAAAGCCACCAGCTACACCACTACCAAGGAGTCGCTCTCTAAGTGGCCTTGCTTCCCTCTCTGCCAATACCCTCCCAGTGCACATCACGGATGCCACCAGGAAGAGGGAATCTACTATCAGGTGAGTGGTCAGGCTGCAGGAGCCTCCTCATGCTCTGATTGTGACCCAAATGCTGGAAACTTCTTGGCTGCTGGGCCTCCTCTCCTGTTATCAGAGACTCTTCAGGGGTCGAAAGGAACTGGTCAGGACAGGAATAAGTGTGGCACAGGGGAACATCTACCATCATTCAGCAAGTAATCATGGGGGACTTCCTCTGTGCTGGGCACAATGCTAAGGCTAGAGATAACTTAGGGAGCCTACAGTTTAGTATCTGGTCTGAAATACAAAAAACCAAAGAAGCAATTATTGGATTTTGTGAGTAGAGTGATAATGGGGGAGTCCAGGGGACTGTGAGGTGATTGGGCAGCCTGGGGTAGCAGTCTCTTGTTTCTTGGAAGAGATGTCTAAGGTGAAGCCTGAAGAGTGAGGAAAGTTAGCCAGCCAAAGCCTGTAGAGCTGAAAGGTTCCAGACGGAGAACGGCGTCTTTCACCTGACCTGTAGGTGAAAGAGGAAGGGAGCCACAAGGAACAAGAATTTAGAGAAACGTAACAGTAGATGGCTGAATCTGCCACAGAGAAGATGAGATATCCATTGCATAGATTTGAGATTTTCTGAGATTCATCTTGGAAAGATGTCAGAGTCAGCTAGGAAGAAGGAATCTCTTTATTTCTAACTCTAACTCTGTTGTGGTAATGTTCTCACTGAGCCAGCCCCCCCCCCCCCCATCTGGCTGATGTGAAGTAAGCAGAAGTCATGGTGTGACCAGCAGCTTAAGCACTGGGAGAGGAGTAACATCTTAATGCCTTCCCATGGGGCTGGCAGGGGAGTACGTGTAACCTTTTAGGACCCTTAAGACCCACAACAGAGCTGGGCACAGTGGCTCATGCTTGTAATCCCAGCACTGGGAGGTGGAGGTGAGAGGGCTAAGCTCAGGGGTTTGAGACCAGCCCAGGCAACTTGGCGATACCTCGACTCTACAATAAATAAAAAAATTAGCCAGGTGTATTGCATGCACCTGTGTTTCCAGCTTCTTAGAAAGCTGAGGTGGAAGGATTGCCCGAGCCCAGCAGGTTGAGGCTGTGGTGGCTGTGAGAGTGCCACTGCACTCCAGCCTGCGTGACAGAGTAAGATTCCAACTTAAAAAAAAAAAAAAAGAGAGACTCGCACCAGGGAATTGTAGAAATATATTTAGGATCAAAGGGATGATTCTTTCTTCAAATTTTATTTAGACCTACTTAATCAGGGCTAAGTGCATCAAAGCCCAATAACAAGCCTCATGAACAAGAGGCTGGCTCGCCTATCAAGGATATATACATCTTTTCTGGCTATTAGAGAGTTTAACTTATCAGCAGATTAAACTTCCATGTCCTTCCAAATCTGTTCATTTGAATGTAAACATCCAAATGCTAGAATTTTGATTGTTTTTCCTTTTGGAAGAACTCTGCACAGTACCTTGTAGAATAATTAAACTAATTGCTGCAAGTTAACCTCAAATTGTCTACATTGAAGGAGGCCTATTTTCAGTTCTCTCTGAAAGTGCAGATATGTATTCCCAAAGGACCATGAACCCAGGTGCCTTCCAGTCCACTGTCTGCAGCATAGTGGTCAAAGGCGGAGGCTTGGGAGTCAGCAATCCTGGTTCTAGTCTTGGCTTTCCCACTGGCTGCTGGGTAGTTTTGACCAAGTGACTTCCCTTCTCTGAGCCCCATTTTCCTCCCCTAGGAAAAAAAGACTTCTAGTCTTTACCTATAAGGTAGTTATGAGGATTACATGAAAGGTAATGATAGGTAGCCCATTAGTAAATGATAGCTGTTAGTGGTCTTTTGTTCCCAGGTGGGCAAGATGTCTAGCAGAGACCTACTGAAGTATTTGGCTACTTAAGTAAGGATATTTTAATTCATATTTCTCCAGTTCAGTAAATGAACTTCTCCTGAGGGTAGGAAATTACTGTGTCCATAGTGCTGGAAAGGCTTCATCTGCCAGTGCATTTAATCCCAGAATCTTAATTCTTTTTAAAAATAGCAGCTGAAGTAAAATCATCTGCCTCATTCACTGAAAACACTGACTTACTTTCCAGAGAGGTTATCAAGAATACTTTAAAATATACTCAAGTTGGTCATCTGTACTTTTTTTTTTCCTGTCTCTTCCCTTTAGAAGTTCACTTGAAAAACAGGACAAAGCAGATGAGAGTATTCAGTGGTTGGAGACACACAAAAAGATGTGTCAGACAATGTCAAAATCTGTGACCTTGCGTGCAAAAGCGATGGATCCCCATAAAAGCTTGGAGGAGGTGTTCAAAGCAAAGCTGAAAGAGAATCGGTCAGTGTTCACCAGCCTGTTGCTGGAAATGCAAAATGGAGTTATTAGGATAGGCTCCTATAATCACACGGAGTCAGGATTTTGCCAAGCAGTTAGGAATTTACAGTGGACATGGGAATTAATTAAACTGCTTAATTGGGAATGAAGGGTATTCTGGATTAGGAAAGAGGGAATTCTTTCTAGAAATCTTGTTAATTCCAGGAACAATGACCGTAAAAGAGCAAAAGAGTATAAGAAAGAATTGGAGGAAATGAAGAAGAGAATACAAACAAGGCCCTATCTCTTCGAACAAGTTACCAAGGTAAAACTAAACCATCATTCATTTTCTTTCTGCCTTGAATGAAAGAGCTTAGAAATGATGAAACAATTTTAATATGTGGTATTAAACATTTCCTTGAGGCTAAGAAATTCTAAATTGGGCCCATTTTATTACTACTGTCTTTTCCCAAATAATGAGTACAATGGTGAATGCTGCTTGGGTTGACACTATAGTCTAGCTTTCAGATTTAATCAGAGTGGGGGTTTAGAGCCTGGAGACACAGTAGTTGTTTGGCTGTTTCTGCTGTCTGGAGCCTCTGTTCACAGTGCTGGGACCACTTGTCTCCAGAGTGCTGCTGCCCTGGGCATCACCAGCCCCCAGAACACTATTCGTGTATAGGTCTCCAAGGGTAAGGATGCTCACAAGTACCCCACAAGGCTCTTTCCAGATTTAGTGGCTTTCAGGATGGAGGTTTATTTTAAGAGATTCTAGACTCTTAGGGAAGTTGGACTCAGTTGAGATCTCCCTAAGGGAGCTCTTGAACAGTCAGAAAGGCCACTAACCCAGGCAGTTTTGGGTTGTATCAGGCTCTCCTTTCCCCTCCAGAGTTCAGACAAAAGTTGGCATTTGCTGAGTCTGCTTCCTCCCACCCCCATACATCTTTCTCTTTCCCTCTGTCTCTTATACACACTCTCACTCACACGCATGGTCTTGGATTATTACTTAGTAATGAACATTGTTCAAAATCTCATGCTGGCCAGGAACGGTGGCTTATGTAATCTAGCACTTTGGGAGGCCAAGGTGGGAGAACTACTTGAGCCTAGAGTTCGAGACCAGCCTAGGCAACATAGTGAGACCTCATCTCTTAAAAAAAAATAAAATAGAATAAAATAAATAAAATTAGCTGGGTGTGGTGGCATATGCCTGTCATCCAAGCTGCTTGGGAGGTTGGGGTTACACTGAGCCATAATCATGCCACTGTACTCCAATGTGGACAACAGAATAAGACTCCCAACTCAAAACAAAAAAACTAAAATCTCATGCTGACCTTTCTTCTTTGTGTTAACTTGTTTCAAGTAATCTCACCTTCAGCTCTCAACAGGTCTTTCATCATGCTAGGAAAAATACAAAGTACTCTATGATTTTGCCCCTGAATAAAATTAAAACAAAAAACAGCCTTTTTCTGGTCCTCATACAGACCATCTTTCTATCAAGAGTGTTCTTAATGTATTTTATTTTCTATTTGTTTTATTTTAGTGCTCCTGATGATGGTTTGGTTGCTTTAAAATCTTAAAACATTTTTCATCTGGGTCTCACTTGTCTCCCAAAAATCTACGTCCTTGCTTTTCAAAGCTGTGGCTCCCAAATCAACAGCTGGCATCTCCTGGGAGTGTTAGAAATATAGAACTGCAGGCCTCATTTAAGACTTAGCCAAATGAGAATCCTGCATTTTATAACAAGACCTTGGGTGATGCATATGCACATTGAGGCTTGAAAATGAGGGTTAAGTGATTGTCATACAAATCTGTGTCCAGCAATAATGGTGGTGGCGGTAGTAGGGGTAGTACTGTAAGGATACTGATTAAGCAAGTAATTTAGAAGTGTCTGGCAATTCACAGGACAGCTACAAATTAATTTCTATTCCATAGGACCTTGCTAGAAAAGAAGCAGAACGACGGTATCTAGACACCCTGAAGCAGGCTGGACTGAAGGAAGACTTTGTGAGGAACAAAGGTCATAGCACCCCAGCTGCACAAGGGAAGAAGGAGACCAAAGCCAAGGATTCTCCCAGGTAATCTGAGATGCTGTGGTCATTCTGTAGCTCTCCAAATTGTCATCCCCATAATGCCACTGGGAGGAAACTTTAAAACAGCCACTCAGATTTTGAGAATACAATCCTATATCTACATAATAATGAACTCAGAGATCTCCAAGTAACATGATGAATTTAGAGAGTGGTAAAGTTGTGAATAAAATCTAACCACTGTATATTAGGTTTAGATTTCTTCAATTTGAAACAGATCATTTTCCAATTCCAGTTTCAATTTCAGGAGTTACTATTTCCACATTACTCCCCCCCCCACTTTAGTTTTGAAGAAAAATCGCGTATATTTTGACTTCTTACAAAATGATAGAGCTGTTTTTCTTGCATTCCTTATAGGTAACTCTTCCATGGCCCATTCTGAAGTCGTGTAAGTCAATGGGAGAAAAGCATTGTCTCTACCTCTATTATTCTCAATTGTTTCTTAAATTCTCATAGTTCCTTCCCTAATTCCTAGCTCAACTTTGCCCCTAGATATCTCCCTTTATACCGCATATAAAATAATAAAAATGCTGAGACCATTCTTTACACAATGCTTTAATTTAAAATTTTCTATAACATAATGCTTTAATTTATTCTGCAGCATCCATGAAACTACAGAACTCAGCACCAGGGATCCACAGCAGGATTTAGAACCTCCAGAACAGCCTACAACCCCCAAGACAGGAGGAACTGTCTTATGAATCAATAGACAATTTCAAATTACTTGCTTAATCACTACATTTATAATTACTGCTTTTGAACAACATTAAGCAGCGAACTTGGGTTTGAGTCTGGGCTATTGCTAGAGAATGGGGAAAAGAAGAATAACAGATAAGAGGGAATGGTTTGAGGAAATCAAAGTGGAGAAACTCAGGTAGAGGAATCAGACTTAGAGTTCAAGGTTCTTGCCTTATGCCTCACGCTTAAAAGAATAGGTATAAAAAAAGAGCACAAGCCCAAATGTCTATAGGCGGTAGTCAGGATACATAAACAAGTCAAATGGGGTGGGTGCAGACAAGTAGGAGATAGGAGAGACTGGAAAGTATAAGCTCTGCTGGAATACAGGCTTAGAGTTACCAAATCAACCACATTTTCATCAAACCAGAAATTTGCATGTTGGTAACTAATTAAAAAGTTATTTAGAAATACTGTATGGGCAAAACAGCATATCTGGTATACCAGATTTAGCCCATGGAGGATGACAAATTTGTAGTCTCTCATATAGGGTTTCTTAACCTTCAGCACTACTGATAGTCTGAGCCAGATGATTCTCTGTTGAAGGTTAAAGAGGCAACTTTCCTGTACACTGTAGAATGTTTAGCAGTATACTTGACCATCTGTGTGTGTGTGTGTCAGCATGAGGTTAATTTTAAATAAATCTAAAACTTTTCTGACAGCCAGGATTTCCTATTAGTAAGCAATCTTTGGAATACTTCTCACCAATAATAATTGGATATCCTTTCTCAGTAGCTGTAAAGACAGGGTGACAGCAAGACTGCATCCTCTAACAGACGCTTCTTTCTTCTGTTTTTTGAAATGTCTCTCTGGAAAAATTCAGAAGTATCTGTTGTTATTGCCATTTTCCCAGACTCAAACCTGGTCTTTACATGGGTTTGCTGGTAAGAAATGGAAATATTCATGTCGTTTCCTAAGATTTCTCAGTTCAGTTTTACCTGCATAGACGCCTAAGGATAAATCAGTGCACTACTACCTTTAAGAGAAAGATTGCATTAGTTCTTAATCACTAAGAAAATAAATTTTGTCTCAAACAAGAGCCAAAGAACCATCTGGGCTGTTTTGTTTATTTAAAGGGAAAACTGGAGCTCTGAATAATGTGATTTTTAACTTAAAAACAAAAACAAATAATACCCTCTTGACATGCTACTATATGTTCCATTAACAAAGAAAGCAAAGTGACCAAGTAGAGGTGTATAGGACAAGATAGTACCTCAGCCTGGGCCAAGGAGAGATTCAAGTAATTTATTTTTTTGCAGCCCAGTGGCAGAGAGTCTCTTACTCAGGTTGCTAAAGGGAGACTGTCACCTGACATCACTCCCTTCTTCAAAGCAACAAGGCATCTTGAGAGCTCAGCTTCCTGGTGAAGCTCTGTTGGTGGCAGGACTTATTTCATCCATATGAAAAGATAGATGAGTCCAGGATGAAAACTCTTCAAAGGAAAATGTCCCCTCAACAGTCATAGAGAAACTTCACCCAACACATAATATCAAATTCACTTTTAGGAGAAGTCTATCCCAAAATTTTGCAGTGGAAAGAGAGGTAGGTACAGTTACCCAGCCCAAACTCACTGCTTCATTCCTTTTCTGGATCAGATGGTAGTTAGAAGAGAAGCTCTCCTACATCCATCTTCTATGCCAGGGAAGAGAAAGAGAGGCAAAAACGGAGTCTTGTCCTTCACAGGTTCATTTTGGTTTGTTGTGAACTATAGCATCCTGTTCCCACTATATGCGCTTTGAGATCTGATAGAGCTGCTCTTCTAGGAGTCAGCACCCATGCTCATGTCCGTCTTTCAGTTAAATCTCCTTGGTTTAGTAGCTGTAAAAGATTGGAAGCAAATCAGGAATAGGTTAAAGTTGAATTACAGGAAAAATAATTCCTACTAAGGAAAAGGATTAAGCGTGAAGGATGGGAAATGTACTACAGGAGTGAGTCAAGGGTATTTACTTCCAAAGCAAAAAACATGCATAGACAGACTTCATTCATATACTGGCCTTGGGACAGCACTTTAGCCACTCATGAGGCTGGCATTTTAACTATGGCAATCAAATATCCTGAGTCTATAAGCATATAAAACTACTGTTTGTATAATCATCTACTCACCAGTGATGGAGTTTGTAACTTACAGGAAATCAGAAATAATGGAACCAAAATCATTTAAGCCAGTGTCAGTCAAAGCATAGGCTGAAGGCTCAAGTAGGAGAAGGCAACAGGAAAAAAGAGCTCTTCCCTTTATAAGTTCTATATGAGAGCTGGAAATAATTCATGAGAGATCCAGGAGTTCCCTAGGTTTAAAGTAATAACTCCTGTGATGAAAGGAGATAAGCCTGAGGTACTCTTGTATGATGGCAGCTAACACTGATATTCTACTCTACACACAGGGCTCTGTTCAAGGTTTTTGCACAATAATTGATAAAACTGGTTTCCATTTTAGTACCAAAAAAACGAGATGGGAACAATTCAGTAAAATTCAGAATAACAGTGAGCTTATTAAAATCTAACCTGTTAAATTATTGAACTTGAAATTACTTATTTGGTGATCTTAATTTGGACAAAGGTAATTTATATAGTAGAATTTAATGATAGGGAATTTTACAATCTAAAGATAAACTTAAAAACTTAACCACAGATTTAATTTGGTGCTATGTGGGAGGAATGAAAGAATGGTGTATTCTTAAATGTAGGCCAAGATCCAGATGTTTGCACTCAAACTTAGCAAGGGCACTTTATAAGAAATGTTATAGAATTTGTAATTCTGTTTTTTTGCTTTGTGTTATTGGGAAAACATTAAAAAGTAGAGTTAGCTGGAAATCACTTATACTGGTTCTTGAGTCAAGAATGTGAACTCAGTGTGAGTATGAACCCCATTTGGGATGACCTTTGGTTAAGCATGAGAGTCCAAAAGTGCTGTGGTCCCAGTTGGGCCTGTGCAGAGTCCTCTAATTCTCAGGAGGCCTGGACAATAATGAGGAAAAACAGAAATTGTCCTGTCTGAACCATCTGAAGGACAGCTGACTTGTAATTTTTGGCATATTATCCATGGTAACTTCTGATAATTGATTTGGTGGTTCTCTGACATCCTTGATAAGTTTTGTTTTTGTTTTTACAGCATATTTACAGGAATCCAATTAAAAGTTCATCAGTAGATTTTGGTCTACAATGCATGTTGATCTCCAATAACAGAAGTTGGGATGGGCATGTATTGTTTTAAGGGTTGCAAATAGCTTTCACTTTCTCTGGCATCAGAGAATGCTCACTCGAGGAATGGTCAATTATTATCTAGATCTTGAATGAGGAAGACGACTGAGCCTGGAGCCTTAGGGTGCTTATAGCTTGAAAAAAACTGAAGTTATTAGAGGATGTGACAACCCTAACTAGAGAAGAAAAAGAGGAAATAATCAGTGGAAATGCCTATGATAACAGGAAAATAATAATGGCAAAAGTAAAGAAAACACAAAAGTGCTCCACAGAGGCACTCTACACCCTCTCACTTTCAACCTCTGTAGAAGGTAGATTGGGCAAAAACTGCTGAACACGCAGTACAGTGTGGGCTGGTGTGCTGGTAAATCACCCATCATGAAATGGGGAAGTGGACTGAAAGAATCTCCAAAAGAAAAATTCACTGAAGCTGGACACAGCCTCTCACGACAATGCTAGCTTGTACACTGAAGCCGATGGGTTCCTAGAAGTGGTTCCTAGAACCACTTACCTGGTAGTAAAAGAGGCCCACCCTCCAAAAACAATTTTTTTGGGGGGGTTTCCCCTCGTAAAGACTCACGAGGAAAAAGTGATAGTGCAGGATTTACAGCTACATCAAAGGCAGCACTTTCCTCTTTGTGTTACTAGTATTTTTCTACGAAGTGTTTTGGGCTTCCATTATAAAACTGGATAGTACATAGGACCATAAGGCCATACTTTCTTTTGGTTTTTAAGCAGCCTGTTCTGTATTATCATGTCTCCCTGAGGCTGTGAGTGGGCAGCACCTATATATACATGACACTCTGAAACCAATTCCAAGAACCATGTACCTAGTTTCAAGTGAACAAATGCATTTTTACTGGACTTTCTGTAAACACATATCTGATCATGCCATAGCTTACTTAAAACCATTCCGTGGGTTCCCATGGCCTCCAGGATAAAATCAAGTTCTGTAAGACCCTTTAGGAGAAGGACCGTCTTATCCTTACAGCTCTTATTTTTCCATTCCAGTACATTTCTCTATCCCATGTCCCATCATACTTGACCCTCTGTGGCTCCACAGAGGCACTCTACACCGTGTCACCTTCCACCTCTGCAGAAGGTAGATTGCTGCCCTTAGGCCTGATATATTCTTCCCACTCATTTTACTACTTCATCAGAATGATTTCATTTCTCAGGTCTCAAACTCTAAAACATATTCTCTGAATGCTTCCCAAGACTGGTATTTACACTGTTAAAAATTGCAGTTTATGGATCTGTCACCCCTCCCATTCTAACCTCTACAGCACAACTCCAAGGGTACCATTTATATAATTATATAGTTATAAAAGGAAGAGGTCCTAACTCTGCCTATAAGTTATTGGAGGTAGAGATTACATTTTGTTTAGTATAACTACTACCCTGTGGACTTCTAACATTAGATATGTGATAAACATCTGATGAATGAAGTTTTTTTATACATCTGGCATTTACTTGGGATAACTTAAAAGTACATCCATTTAAAAAAAGATACCCATACAGGATAAAAAAGCTCCAAGGTTTCAAATATTAAAAAGAACAAGCTAAGTGTTGCAGATTGGTTTGTCAGGATAATTGTAACTAGATAAAAGGAAAAGATGATTTTCCTGAAATGGCTATTTCAGGGCAGCCATATGGTTGATGACAGAAACACCTCTTTTATAAAAGAATCACAATTAATAAAAGCAGAGAGAACACGAGAATCAGAATACCACTATTTTGTAAGCCTTAAGGAAACAACAGATCTAGGCTATGATCAGTAATGGTTGCCAACAATTTTAAGATAACCTACCACTCTTAAAGTCAGTAAAAGGACAGCAACTGATTATCATGTGACTCCTGATGAGATGCAATAGAAAGCAAGAACACTGTCTAAGAAATATTCTTGCCAAGGGAAACGGGGAGGGGGGGAGATGAATCTAATCAAACCTCTAAATGTAACTACCAAATGAAATCTGGTGGATAGAGAAATTAATATTAAAGAACAAAAGGAGTCAATTATCCAAAACAGAATGTGGGAAATTTTTTAGGACCCAATTCCTTAAACAGATGAACACATTTTCAAAAAAGGAAAGATAAAGAAAATTAAGAGAAATATTAACCAAATGTAACATATGGGCCTTGGGCCTTGTTTGAATCCTGATTCAAGCAAACCAACCATAAAATGACATTTCCGGGGGTGGGTGGTAGGTGGTGAGGAAGAACACAGACTGTTACAGGATATAATAATTATTGTTAATTTGGTTGAGTGTGGCAACGATATTACAATTTTTAAATTTTATTTTATGAGTTGGAATCTCACTCTATCGCCCAGGCTGGAGTGCAGTGGAACACTCATGGCCATCCCAGCATTAACCTGCTGGCCTCCGGCGATCCTTCCGCCTCAGCCTTCCAAGTAGCCAGAACTACAGGCATGTGTTACCACGCCTGGCTAATGTTTTTGGTTTTATTGTAGAGACGAGGTCTTGCCAAGTTGCTGGGGCTGGTCTCGAACTGGTGGGCTTAGGCAATCCACTCGCCTCAGCCTCCTAAAGTCTAGGATTAGAGGCTGAGCCACCAAGCCCAGCCCTACAGTTATTCTTGAACATCTTATCTGTTAGCATTATATACTGAAATATATACAGATGAAATGACACATCTACAATTTGCTTTAAAGTACTCCAGCATAAACAACGAAAAGGAGAGAAGAGGTAAAACAAGAACAGTGTAAAGTAATTACTGAAGTTAGGAGATAGGTAC